AGGGAGGGGAAATACCCATGGATCGTTTCGGGGAATCCGATTCTCACGTCCATTACGGCGTGGAAATCGTGGCGCGCTGTGATCGGTGTGACGGTGAACCAAAAATTCCGGCTAAGTTAATGGGTCGAATGGATGAATGATCCGTTCGAAGGAATAGGATATATACCTGTGGAGGAGGCAGGGAGGCAATGAAACGTGAGAACGAGAGAGAGAGAGAGAGAGAGGGAGAGCGAGGAAGGGGAAAGGTTGGAATAGAGAGGAGAAGGGGAAGATGGGAAAGGTACTAATCACTTCTAGGGACTTTAATGGAGGTTTTCTGTACGCCGTCTACTTTGTCCACGACTTATACCACTTCGAACCGGTTGGAAGTAGAGTATTTGGGAGAAAAAGCAGGCGGAGAGTAGCGTTACGTGTATTAAACTAAACGGCACTCGGGTAGGTAGCTAGCTCGCCCGCTATCCAGACCACCGAGCTCTCCTGTCTCCCCCCGAAGAAACGTTCCGTGTCGATGCCGAAATAAATTCCACGGCCGCCACCCGCAACCACCCCCTTGTGCCCGACCCATTCGAGTTTCGCCCCGAACGGATTTATTTAGCGTTCGTTAATTAAGAGAGCCCGCGCCGGTTTCAACTTCTAAATTCGATCGAGCTTTTCTTCGATAAAACCTAAATTTCCCGTAGTCACGCGATACACCCTTCTCGTCCCAGCCCAGTAATTGCCAGGATGTTGCGCTGAAACAGGGAACACAATTCAACGTCCGTTCCCGTTAACGAGATCGTAATGATAATTACAAATTTTCGTTCGAAACGTGAATCGATATTTTTAAAAAGAAAAGAAAAAAGAAAATTCGTCAATTTGCGATCGTTATATATATATATACCTAAATAATTTTAACAAATCTAAGAAAAAACGACGATCGCAAAATCAATATCGAACGGAATTGTACAAAACAAGAATCATAAACTTGGAGTGGAATTTTCTAAAAGAGAATAGACCGCGTACGTGGTCGACGTTCGAGGACACCATCTGTCCGATCGAACCGATTTTCACGTGCAACTTCCCCGCCCAGACACGAGAAGCGAATTGGGAAAAATTTGATGGCCAAGTTTTCCCCGCCAACACTATCGCTCCCTGGATATTGATATCCGGACCAAGGCTTTCCCGATGAGCAAGAGGACAAACACGCGCGGAGAGACGTCCCGGAGCCCCGTTTTCAAAGTTCCCACTCGACTCCAAGTGCATCCTCCTGTCTCTGTTCCGCTCAACATCCTCCCGTCCAACACGGGCGAAGGTAGGAAACGCGCGTGTTCGCGCTCCGCACGCTCTCCGCTCCCGTGGATTTATTATGCATGGACCTGATGTATCGGACATCGGCCGGACAGCTACGTGGAACGGAGTCCGAGACGTGTATGGGTGTGTGTGTGTGTGTGTGTGTGTTAGTGCCGCTCAAGTGGCGTTGCCCATCAACGAAGGTAGACGTTACTCTCAAGAGTGGACCGAGAAAGGACGACCGGCCAAGGATAAAAAGAAAGAAGAGAGTAGATGAGAGTAAAGCTACCTCTACCCTCCTTCGCCCACTTTTCCCTCCAATTCTCTCTCTTTCTCTCTCTCTGTCCTGTCCATCTTCGAGCTAACTTCTATTCGTCTCTACCACTACCATCTCTTATCCCCGGTGACACGCGAGCCAACGCACGCGAATCAAATATATTTTCATTTCGAGCCAATTGTTCCCGTCCTCGTTTATTATTCGTTCTGATCACTCCCGAACGTCTTGTTCCAAGGTTTCATAAAATAGTTAGACAAGCGTTTTTTCCAGGCCAAACGTCTCTCTCTCTCTCTCTCTCTCTCTCTCTCTCTCTGCCCGATTACCGTCCGAGAGCACGCGTACCCTCTTGAAAATGCTCACCGTTCCGCATCTCCACGGGAAAATATTTGTGCAGCGAGCGCTCTCGCACAGTTACACGCCTCTCTGGCCATCCAACGCGAGTTCCTACGCGTTCGCCCCGTTGTTGCCCGTTATCCAAACACACGTAGATATCCTCCGCGCGCAACGTCAAATATTTTTCCGAGCGTGAACTCGGCAAACAACAACGGACAGTTTTTCGCCTATTAGGCGATACGATAGCCTCGAATTCTCGAATTCTTCGGACCGAAGATCCGGGAAAACGGGAGACGCGAACTCGGACCGTTTCGCGCGATGCGATACGGCGTTGCGGATTTTGGAGGGACGCAGCCACGTCGAGATGGCATCGACGCTCGTGTGGCACAGATACCGAGAGCTTTTCTGGAGGAGCAGGGGTCCATTAGCCGACTCGCCTGTCTTCTGAGTCCATTACAAGATGAGCCACCATCCCCCCGAGCGTCCTACCCTCCGTTTCCAACTTACTCGACGATACGCTACGATCTATACCCACTGTATAGATACACCATCCCTCTCTCCACCGTCTCTCCTTCCCACTCTTCCACCCCTCCTTTCTCTCTCCCCCACCCGCTTACTCTCGACTTCTCGATCCTTCTTTTCCTCCTTCTCCTTCTTCTTTTTCTTCTTCTTCTTCTTCTTCTTCTTCTTCTGTCCGGCCTCTTAATCCTTTTTCTCGCAAATAGGATAGCGACGTAAAAAGGTATCGGCCATTACTTCACAGCGTCGCGTAATTACCGATCTTCTCGATACATCTTCTCGGGAAGATTGCAGCGCAGCTCGGAACAACCGTTATAAACCGGCAGACGTATTCGAGACGTTTCGAATCTCGTCGGGATCGTCGATCCTATTTATAAAAGCGCACGTTGCGTGTTCACGATTAATGTCTTTTATTCTGCGAATAACTCAACGCCCAAGGACCGAATGAAAAACGAGCGACATCGTTCGAGCGAAGAATAACGAGATACAGGATACGTTGAATACGTCGACAATACGTACGAGCTGCGATATACATATGCCGGCGTGGCTAATCGTATTTCTGTAATAGAAGAACAAGCCAACGTGTGCGAATGCAAGGGGTGCCCTAAATCACGATGCGTCTAAGGACGGATCAGAGGATTACGTTGGAA